GAGAGAGAAGAGCGAAATGAACGGCGAAAAATACGACAGGATGAAAAGAAGAAAGCTGGGAAGAAGCGAAAGAAGAAGAGGAATGGAGGAAATAAAGAGCAAGGAAAGAGAGAAGCGTGGTGGATCCCTTCGTTTTCCCGCATCCCATTGATTTACATCTTGTCTTGGCGCGGCAAGGAAGAAAGAAGACTGGAAAGAAGAAAGGCGGGAGAGAAGCGAAGCCGCGCGTAGTCGAGAGGGTGGCCGCATGATATCAGCCGTTTGTATGCGCGACCGACGCCAAACTTTGCTGAATTGCCCTATGACTCCTTATATCCTATTCTCCGAGCACGCCCCCTCCTTTTACGATTCCACCCTCTCTACCACTCTACCACTCTCTACTCTCGAGTCGTTATACCGATCTCGAAGAAACCGACTCGCGCTCCCTTCCCTTTCGTTCGAGAATTCCGTAAGGGTGGTGGCTAGGATTCTCCAATTGTAAATGACGACTATAAATCGGGTAGGGGAACTATCGCGAGATTACGTGTACGCGATTAATTGCGTGTCTCGCCTGCAATTTAATTCCGTATCATTTCTATTCGAGGAAAGGAAAATTCATCGATATCGATTAAAATTGATCGACCAATTATCTTATTTGTACCAAGCTTTTTAAATATATTAACCGTTACATTAATTTTAGAGAGGGAATTAAATATTCAATGTGATCGAGCATAAGCATTTAGGAAGATATTATCACGACATTTATGATTGCAGTTGAATAACAGAGAGTCGATGGTACTTACTGTTGTATTCTCCAGGATCACTGGGATCCAATCGTTTCGTTCTACGTCCGTGTTTGCTGTTGTTGTGAACGAACATGTTGTCCGAGACGGCCAGTAGCGGTCCCTCTACTCCTACTTGCGTGGAAATGACCACCTGTTACGGAACGTTGAAATTCGTCGATGTAAGATTTCGGTTATAAAATTTAGGAAAATTTTATTGCACAAAATAAATTGTACGAATGATACTGCTTTTGAAATTTGTTCCAATCGATAGATAAGAGTATCGCGTAAGGAATTATTTTATTACAATTTTTTACAATTTTTTGACCGTATAGTAAAATGAAACTATGTCACGTAGAACGTGTTGCGTAATTTTATTTACGCGTTATGTAAGTACATATGTTAATCATATATCTCTTGCGAACAAGCAACGTTGCCTGATTTGCTGCATCGCATTATATGTATTCGCCATGCATTCCGTGACTCTCGTGACCCCCTATTTGCACGTATGATAGATACTATCGTACAAATGTATGAATATAATCTCATTAAAGCTGATCCTTGAAATAATATCCAGTAGTAATTAATTTGGCACATTATGGTATTAAATAATTTATCCTTTTTAAATATTATACGATATAAATATATACTTCGATATAAACTACAGTATACTTTCACTTAAATTAATTACAAAATTATCCTCCATCGAATGAATTACTAGCAACGCTAGATTGAGAATAATTGAATTTGGCTTCAGTAGGTAAAGTAATCTTTTTTTACGATATAAGCAATGTGTTTTTACGAATAAAAGTTTGGGCAAATTGAAACAAGCCACGCGGTTAACCTCGAGTTTGTCAGATGCAAACAAGAGGACGATGATTTTCGGGAGAAAGTAGAAAGAACGTTTATAAAATCGACTGGGCGGTTGGTAAATGCCCAAAGTTTTGTCCTTTCGCAACTTCACAACTTTCTTGGCTAGTTGGCTGTACTACGTAGCACGACGTAACGTTGTGCAAACTTGGCCAGCACAACTTGGTGAGGGAGGATAAAGGTCTGACTGGCCTTCGCGAGACAAATTTTCAACAAGGAGGGCGGACCGCTAAAATTTTAATTCGCAACGTCGAGTAATAAGCAATTCCTAAACAAATTCCGAAGAAGGGATAAACGGTTTAACTTTAAGTTTATCTTTAACTGCTCGAATGCAAATACGAATCCACGAGAGGATGCGTATTGAAATATTGAAACAAGATTGAAACAACGTAACTTTTGTTCAAAAAAAAGAAAAGGAAAAAAATTAGGGAACAGACTGGAATCTCTTCTCTTCGATTACGAAGCGAGTAAAGGAGAAAGGAGAACGTAAGAATGGCGCGATAAGGCGGACGGAAGCAATGGAAGAAGGCGAAAAGGCAGAGCGCAAAGTTTTTGGTAATTTATTTTTTAATTCTACCTTTTGTCCGTGGAAATGGATACGGACGGGGTGGCGAGATACGGCTGTCGGTGAGTAGGAGAGACCGTTATACGGAGGTAGGGGTGAACGGATACGGGGGTGGGTCGGTTGATGCCGCGCTGAGCTAATTGCCAACCCCTTGGATTACGTCTCTTGGATGGGGATCTCAACTTCCGACGACGATGGCCGACCATCGGGAAATTGCTGTCTCCTCGGCCAACTTTTTCCTCTCTTTCCAGAAATTAAAAAAGAAGCCAAGAACCGAGAGGCACGCACAACGATACACCATTCTACTTTGCCCTTAAACGTGTATAATAATTTCGCGATTCGAACGATGACCGACTTTTTCTCCACGCCACTCTCCCTCTCCCTTTCGAATAATCGAATCGGCGAATTTTTTAAAGTAAATCATCCGATTTGTTTTAATAATCGATAAATAAATGATGGATGACTTACCTGGAAACGTCTCATGTCACGTGGATTGCCCGCATTCTTAAGGCAGTTCTGGTTGCACTTTAGGAAGAATTTGAGGAAGAATCTGAAAGCAGAGGGGAGCGGAGTTAAACGGTTGACAAGGTGCTTAACGCTCTTCAACGCCGAGAACTTAATTAGAACGCGAACTTGGCTGGAAAGTAAGCCTGAATATTGCATAAGCCAATCGTAAGCCCTGTTCTACTCGCCTCTATTATTCAGTATTTCTCTAGATTAAACCTCGAACCACGCGTTCTTCGACCTTTAGGACTGTACCGTATTGTATACTGTGCCAACGTTCATAGTTACCAGTCTACTAAAATGTCGAGAGGTGGCTGCTATCTCTAAAAATATATTCGATTCTCATAAATCAGCGTCAGATCTTTCCACATATTACATTCTATATATATACAGAAATTTTGTTAAAAGATTGTCTTACATCTTGGACAAGTCGTTTGTCCAAGCATTCAATATATATATATATATATATATATATATCGTATCGCGATATCCAAGATAATAAATTATTCATAGCGACAATTTTATCAATAGAATTTTACTTGTTTAAACGCGTAGAAAATTTAAAAACATTTATAGAATATATTACTTGAAAAAGTAGAAAGAATCGCGACGAAATATGAACGATACGCTTTTACGACAAATGGGACGGAGTATTAACATACGAGCGAGATAGAAGTGAAATTCAAAAAAGAAAAAAAGAAATAAAAGGAGGGAAAAATAGGTAAAAAGTCGACAGCTCAATTTTCATGAATTATGTATAATGTAGGGAGGATATTGAATTTGAGAAAATTTTAGCGGATGCGGGATATTCGCGTTCGCAGTGGCGGAAGAGAAAGGAAAAGAAAGAGAATTCGGGGAAAAGAGCGAAACAGGAATATATCTGTGTTGAGGAGGGAGAGAGAGGAAAGTGGAGAAAACTCGTAGGAAACAATCAGGAGGACCGAGACGATGAAGAGTTGGACGGATGAAGGGGGGTAGTTTTCTGGGTGGCTGGTAGGCTTGTCCTCCCGTGGGACACCATTGTTATCCCCCTACGGACTGCGTCTATACGATCCCGGGACTCGATCGAAAAATCAAACGCATACCTCCTACCGGCGACGCTTGCTTTTTTTCTTTCTCGTTTGCGCGAATCGTCCGAGCGAAACTCGTAGAAGGAACTCGTCTGATTTCACTTCGTCGCCCTCATCTCCCCTTCGCTCCTATCGATATCGCTTCTTTTCGCTTCGTTTCTTTACCTTTCCTCTATTTTCCGCGTTAACGGGATAAATAGAGGGATGGCACATAGAGCGATACGCCGATTCCTTTAATTTTACGAACGCTGGAGGAAATGAAATCGTTTAGGCAACACAGGCGTTGCACAGATCCGTCTTACTTATCCATGATTTATCTCTTACTTACAGTCTCATCGCTTTATCGCCCTTCTTTTTTATTATTCTCGTAAAATTTCTCACGAAGCGGAACAATGATAGTATAAATAACGGATAAAGCTGCGTCGAAGCTAATAAAATCATTAAAAATCGCGTTGAAACACGCCTCCTCATCTTAGGTAATCGTAATCGTATCGATCTTTGTCCTTCGTTAAATCGAATTCGATATTATTTTATTATATCTTGTGATCGTAGTAAAACGGTATAATTTTTTACGTAAAATAGTCGCATGCTCATTGAAATTAGAAATGCTTGTATGCTCGGATGCGTAATGATACAATGCGAGCGAAGCCGTCAATTCGTTCCTTTTTTGCGATATCACACGCACGCAGCAGATAACGACACGGAGTGTATTATCGCGCATTACACACGGTCGGATTATCTAAACGACACTTTTATCGCCGGTCCGTTCGTACGATCCGGCGCAAGTTGTCAACCGAGTCGAACGTTTGGCACGAAATCCATATAGCAGTTGGAAAAGTGAAAAATAAAAACGGAAAACCGATCGGAGTCGGCCCTTGTTCGCGTACGGGAAGGGTAGTAGGGTGGCGGGATGTAAAGAGAAAAGGCCGAGGAAGAAGGGAAAGGGAGGAGGAGGGATACACGCAGAAAGAGAAAGGGAAAGAAACGTATCGATCTCCTGCTTCTCTCGTATCTATCCGTATTCATGGAGTTACACGTTCTAGGTTCGTGTTAACGTGCTACATTCGGCCGCTCTAAGAGAGCCGAGCGAATTTAATTTCGTTTACTCTTAGAGAACGTTAAGATCTTATCGAGATGCTGGATGGGTATTCAAAGCATTGTACTTTCCTTTATCGCTCTTGTGAATCTCGCTCTAAACACGATGTCTCCGCCGTGCCCGAGGCGTGGAGAACGACGCCGATGGCTTCTAGTCTTTTCCAGATACCAATCCTATCGACCATGCCTACCTCTCTAACCGTGCGAAAGTCTCTCGCGCGTTAACGCTCTTCACGTCGAAAGATTCATCAAAGATCACCCACCACCACCAGCGTTCCCACTTTCCTTTGTTATATTTTCATTCGTCGATTAAATTCACGCACGACTTGGAAACCAATCGAAATAAAGAAAAGATTTCAAAATAATAGAAATATCGAAGAGGGCGTATCGGTACGCGACACTAATCATCGGCGACAACGCCAATCCGGCTCGTATCGATGTCTATTCATCCCTCCGTTCTTTTTTTCCTTTTTCGACTCGTTTCCTTCCACGCTATCCTCCGAGTATTGGCTGTTAGCAGCTAATGGATTGCGTTACCGACTGATTCAAATGCGAACTGGATTTCATTCTAAGCTCGATGGGGCGACAGTATCGACGATGTTGTAACGGGAACACGAGCAAGAAGGGTGGAAAGGCCAGTTTCTTACAGGGGCTCAAACTCGATTTCGATCATCTATTAGATTTTTCTCCTTCAGCCGATGCTTTCCGCGAGCTTGCGCCACTTTTCACGATAAAATCTATTCTGGATCGTCGCTTAACACACAGCCGGCAAGCGTATTCCGCGTCGTTGAAACGTTCGATCGTGTTAAAGATCGTTTGTTCCAACAGAGATACATGAGATTGATACACATTTTTGCGACAAATGACTATGCGCTTATTTTAAATATTTAAAATATCCAACGGAATTGCAATTTACGGAATAAATGAATAAATATTGTGGAGAGCTCTGAGCTTAAAAAGAATGCGAAATGTTGGAAAAAACGTTTCAAAGACGAGCGTGATATAATAGAATTTCGGTGGCCGCGAAATTAAAGCGGTTTATCGGTGGATAGAATGGACGAATCGGTCGATTCTTGCCGTATTGGTGATTGTTCGGTTGCTAACGAATTGACACGGAATAAAATATACAGGAGTCGACCGATTGAGAAATCATTCCCAACCTACCTTCCGATCGTAGCATACCTTTCCGTTGCCTCTGTTAAAATGAAAATAAAACGCAGCAACGCGCAGCGGAAAGTGGAGGGTTGTATGCGATGGGAGAAGGGGAGACAGAATGGCAACGGCGTGTAGCGGGAAACGTGCACCGTTCGCTGTTTCCAGTTTTACAGTATACAACTTCGCAACGTTGGGATGGATGAACGAACGAGCCAGAAAAAATAACGACGTCAATGAAAAAAAAAAAAAGAGCTAAATATTGGAGGCTCGTGGTTAGAGAGTGGGGGAATGAGTGGGAGAGAGAGAGAGAGAGAGAGAGAGAGAGAGAGAGAGAGAGAGAGAGAGAGAGAGAGAGAGAGAGAGAGAGAGAGAGAGAGAGAGAGAGAGAGAGAGAGAGAGAGAGAGAGAGAGAGAGAGAGAGAGAGAGAGAGAGAG